CTGCTCCTTACCATGACACTGGACAGGCTACCCAGGTTCTCTGCGGCCCAGTTTTCTCTTCTGTAAAGTAAGGACAAAGGCTGTTGGAAGGTATACTTGGGGAAACTATGTAAACACGTAGAATAGTGCCTTGCAGGGAGTAAGCCCTCAGTAAATGTTAGCCATCAGCAGAAAAGCATCTTACGTGAGACCCAAGGAAGGGAAGGGTACACCGTAGGCGGGGGTACACACACCAGAATGATTTCCCAAGGGAGAGAGAGAAAGAAAAGGTTAGGGCATGAGGAGGCAGGCAGGCTGTGAGACTGGAGTTAGCAAACTCATCCATTCATTTACTCATTCATTCATTCATTCAATAAAGGTTTCTTGGATGCCTGCTACATGCCTCTCAACACTTTCACTAACACTTGTGGGGTCTGGAGCAGGTGTAGAAATGGAACCCACGTACCATATGCCTGAATATTTAAAAGTGGCAAATCAAGCTAACGATTTGTTAAATGTGTTCTGTTTTTTCTACTCCAACAGAGATGTCTTCAAAATAACACTAGTAATTGTTTTTATGTCACAAAGTTGGGAAAATATCAATGATAACCGAATTTAATTATTGCAGGTATCTGAATGTATTTGGATGGTCTGGGAATGTTTAAATGGGTGGTAAAGACACACAATTCATAAATTATTATGTATTTGCTCCATAAAATTTCTTTTTCCTTGCCTTTATTTCATTTGTCATAACTGAGAACTTCACATAAATTGTGTTGTGTTGACAGTGCTGACAAAGGAGTAAAAAAACCATACATAATTGTACTCAAAGCATACAGAATTTATATGCATGTAATGTAAAATGTAAATGTAAATAGAATTTTTTCAATTAAAATTATTTTTCGTGTTTGTTTTTAGTTACTCTACCAAAAGCTTTAAAGTTATCTATTAAAATAAAAATTGATAATTGATAAATATCAAATATCTAAAATTATTTCAATATATCTGAGACTTTTTATTTTTGAAATGTAATTACATTTCTTTTTTTTTTTTTGAGAGAAAACGTGCAAGTGGGGTGGAGGTGGGTAGGAGCAGAGGGAGAGGGAGAGAGAATCTCAAGCAGGCACCACACTCAGCGTGGATCCCAATGCGGGGCTCATTCTCATGACCCTGAGATTATGACCTGAGCCGAAATCAAGAGTCAGAAGCTCAACTGCCTGAGCAACCTAGGTGCCCCTGTTTGTTTATTTATTTAAGTCATCTCTGCACCCAACGTGGGGCTTGAACTCACGACCCCAAGATCAAGAGTCACATGCTCTACAGACTGAGCGAGCCAGATGCTCCCAACCTTGCAGTTTTTATGTTACTTACTATGCATATACATATTTAAAAGTAATATAAATTAATATTGCAAAGAGTTCCTCAGACTTCATTTGCAACTCTTATGAATTCCATGCTAATTCACAAGGACTCCCAGAACCACAAACAGGAACAGTAATAGGATCAAGAAGATGGACACTTGGGACTTTTGGAAACTATACTTGCCATAATATTCTTGCAAAATAATAGATTATATGAGAATCTGTTACATCTCAGGTATTGCAAAATAATAGACTATACAAGAATCTATTACATTCCAAGGATTTGGCTAATGAATTTGCCTTTCCCAGCCGCAGTACTCTGGGGCTCACACTGTGCCTGCCACTCTGAAGCTGTAGCTCAGTGCAGAGAGGCTGTCATCATGTATTTCCAGGTCATAGACCAAGAGCTGTGGGGAAGTGTTTTCCTTTGGTTAGACTGGATAGTACGTGCATCAGGTCAACTATAGCATTTGCCTTAGCTTCCTGTGATGGTTTTATCAAACAAGAATGTGTTAAATGAACAGTATACAACTCCTTAAACACTCGAATCAAGCCGTGCATAGCCTTCAGTAGACTAATTGTGAAGTGGTTGATTTTGGGTAACACAGGCTGATGAAGCTAATCTTGAGAATCCTTCCTCTCAGTAGAGACTTTTATGTCACTAGCCCAGCCTGAAAAAGTGAGCTAATTATTGTGCTGGGAAATGACAGACATCACTTTCAGAGGAGGTAATATCTCTGCCCACAGACTATCCAAAACGTAGATTAGTAACATTTAGTTAAATGAAAATAGAGTCCAGTTAAATGTCATGCAGCAATGTTAAACAGAGGACCACATGTAAATGAGGAGGCAACTTGGTTAGATCGTGACTTTGAAAGTGTTAGGTGATCAGCAATGTCATTTTTATATGGTATGAAACTCCTACATGGGGCCAACTCTGCTGAAGCCCGTGGAGGGAATCCCATAATCATTACAGGTAAAGTGACTCTCAGAGGACACTCAGAATTTGGGAATAAGTTCTATGGACACCCCATGCATTTTCCTTCTCTTTTGCTACTTGCCCTGGTTACTTCACTGATGACCAGCATGGGAAGCTAGGGAAGGCAAATTTTAAAGCAGTAAGTCCTGTAATAACAGTTACTGTTTTCTTGAGACCTACCTGCCAGGCATGGAGCTAAGTAGTTCATATTCATTGTTTCATTTAGTCCTCACTAAATGAGGATGAAGCACAGTGTTACTGTTTCTGTAAGAAGTGGTTGGAAAAATTGACTCAGGGAGGTTAAGAAATTTGTCCAAGGTCATATAGCAGAGCCTGGATTCAATCCAAGTCCATCTGACAGCAAAGCTTGGGCTCTTGGTCATGTGCTACACTCTACCGCTCCCATTATGTGTGTGGGGGGGCGGGGGGGGGCATAATGAAATTGGGCTAAGGTAGCAAATGAAAACCAGAAGGAAGTACCACCTACCAGGATGACTATAGTAAAAAAATTTAATGAAAAACAAAATGGAAACATAACCCGTCCCAGCAAGGATGTGGAGACATTGGAATCCTTATCCATTCCTGGTGGGGATGTACAATGGTGCAGCTGCCCCCGGAAACAGTCTGGCAATTCCTCAAAAAGTGAAACAGAATTACCATACAATGCAGCAATTCTACTCCTAGGTATACACCCAAGAGAACTGAAAAAAAAAATTTCCATTCAAAAGCGTACACACACATATTCAGAGCAGCATTATTCATAGTAATCAAGAAGGGGAATAATTCAAATGTACATCACCTGATGAATGGAGAGACAACATGTGGACATCCATCCGGTGGAATATCATTCTGCTAAGTGAAAGAAGCCAAGACGCTGTATGAGTCTATGGATATGGAATGTCCAGAGCAGGCAAATTCATAGAGACAGAAAGCAGACCAGTGGTTACCAGGGTCAAGGTCGGGGTGCCTGGGGAGTGACTGCTCTTAGGGATATTTTGGGTGTGACGAAAATGTTCTGGAATGTTATACGGATGATAGTTGCACAACATAGGGAATATCAGTGAATTCTGGGAAATAAACTTTAAAATAGTGACATTTATGTTATATGAGGTATATCTTAATTTTTTTTAAGATTTTTATTTATTTATTTGACAGAGAGAGACACAGCGAGAGAGGGAACACAAGCAGGGGGAGTGGGGGAGGGAGAAGCAGACTCTCCACCGAGCAGGGAGCCCGATGTGGGACTCGATCCCAGGACCCTGGGATCATGACCTGAGCCGAAGGCAGCCGCTTAACGACTGAGCCACCCAGGCGCCCGAGGTATATCTTAATTTTTTTAAAGACATCTTCAGGTCAGGTCCCAGAAGTCCTTGAATAGTGGGCTATAGGATCCAGGTTTCCTTTGGTGGTCAACAGGGAGCCACGGAAACTTTCTAATGAGGATGGTGGCATGACAGGAGTCATGGAAACATGTAAAGTGCATAGTACATAGCAAGTGTTTAATACATATTAGCTCCCTTCTCTCTTCCTCCCCCAATTCGACACTAAGCCCCCATGACTCCTGGGGGAAAATAGTTCTTTTCTGTTTGGACCCTAACAGAAAGCCATCTGTTTTAGTTGAAACCACTCTTGCTATAGTTCCCCTGGTCATCTTCCGGAGGGTCCCTAGCCTCTCAGTGTTGGGCAGGTTCATCTCAGTGCCCCTAGAATACCTTCCTCGCTTCCTCCCTCCTCCTCACCAGCGCTTTCTCCTCTCTTTCCCCTGTACTCCTCTTCCTCTTCTTCCTTTTCAATTTTTTAAGTTTTTATTTATTTATTTAAGTAATCTCTACACCCAGCATGGGGCTTGAACTCAGGACCCTGAGATCAAGAGTTGCATGCTCTTCTGACTGAGCCAGCCAGGAGCCCCCTTGTCCTTCCCCCCCCCTTTTTTTAAAAATTAAAATAATGGTTTTCTAAAACACCCTCATAGATCTCAACTTTACCCAGAGTTATCCACCATATAAGTTCTATGCCTTCCTTGTCTCCACTTCATTTCTCCCTCCTTCTTCCCCCATCTCACCCACATAGCAAGGAGCTCAGTAGAAAGGAATCAGATTGCCCTGGGTTCCAATCCTGGCTCCCCATCCTGCTGATTTTCTGGCTAGACTCATAGGCTCAATGTTCTCATTTGCATAATGCCACTCTAATAATAATGATAATGTCAACTCCGGGGGTTCTTTTGAGGATAGTATTCATTAAAGCGCTTATTAGAGTGATGCCTGGTACATCGGCACCCTCAGTGAATTATGCTTAGAGCATCGCTATTATTATACCGGTAGGGGGTAGGGTATGGCAAAAGCGCTGATATTTCTTTAGAAGTGGATTTCGTCCCTCAAATCTCAAATATGTGTAGGACTCATTAAAGGTTTTGACAAGGAGGGCTACTTTAAGTGACAACAGCCTTTCCCAAAGTCATCTGAGAGATGTCCTAACAGTACATAGCTGCTTCCAAGAAATGGCTTGAAGTGCCATTATTGAGGGAGGATGGGGGCTCTAGGGGATTTTGGGGTCAACAAACATCAAATGGGCGATCTCACAGAGGGTGGTGGGGATTTCCCATGAGGCCCCGCCCCCGGCTGAGTCACCAAACCCCTGTGTTTGACTTGCAGCGAGGGAGAGGCAGAACCTCAGTGCTCTGAAGATCAAGGAGTGGAAAGTTCTTCACCAGCACTGAGAATCTCAAGGTTTGTCGTCTGGGACAGTCGGGGTAACGGAGTTGGGGTAAGGATAGCAGCTTTATTCCTTTTCTCCATGGCTAGACTTTTTGCCCTTCTAATTTCTAGTAACTTTTATTCCATAGCCTATTAAATAAAGATCAAGCACCTGGCCCCAAAGAGATTTCTTACTTCTTAGTTTTGTTACTACATGAGCTTCAAATCTCAAAATGGGCAAATATATATCTATCAAGAAAATGTGATCATGAGTTGAACAGAGCAGTGCTTCAACATTTTAGCAACTGGGTGTTGAACTGTTCACATATTGTTCTGACAAAGGGGAAAGAGTAATGAGATATCTCCCCACTGAGCTGAGCTGTTAGGTAAGACTGACAGGTTGTCACTTTAAGAACTCTATCTCAGAGCCAGCAAAGAGCTGCCATTGTTGAAATCTGGATGCTAATGCCAAGTGTCTATGAAAGTCCCTAAAAATTCTTGTTATTGTTATTTCTGCATTTTGGCAAAACATGTTGGAGAGTGCACGCTTAGACTTTGGCAAACCTGCACAAAGCTATGTGTGTAGTCATGTTTGTCTTATCATAGAAGTGTCTTATCATAGAAGTGTCTTATCATAGAAGTGTCTATGTATTTGCACCTTTTCCCTAATATTCCATCATTGTTTCTGAGAAGACCCAAGTTATGGTCTTGTGGATGGCATAGGTAATGGTTGAAATGTAGATAATCCTAAAAGGAGAAACCACCTCATTCTTGGAAATTTTTACCTTTTGCAGAGCGGTATTTGTGAAACCAGCTACTTTGATTAAAACCCTTTTGGAATCTGCTTTGCTCATATGCTGTCTCTGCAAGATTTCACCATGGGCAGTGGCTATTACAACATAGTGGCTACCGTGTTGTTGGTCACGAATTTTGAGAGGACAGGATCAATGCAGGATTCCTGTAGTAAATGCCTAGCTGGTAAGAACCAAATTAACATGCGTGTTTGATCTGTTCTGTTGAACTCATGGTTCAGTGAGTCTAGTAGTCAGGGTTAATGAGTTCTGTTTCAATTATGTTTTTTTAAATTCATTCATTTACAAATATTTCTTGGGTGCTACATCTTAGCTGTGTGAAGAAGGTAGCCATGTCGCTTAATCCCTTGTGCCCCAGCTTTGGCAACTGGGGATGATGAAAGAACCTATCTCATTGCTCTGCTGGGAGGATCCTATGATAGGTTCTGAACAGTGCGTGGCACATGGCAAGACCTCAGTAAATGTCAGCCTTATCTGTGAGGACCTGTGCTCAGACCTGGGGGCACAGCAAGGAATAAGAAGTGGCAGGGGGCTTCACAGAGTGGGGAAAAAGCAGACACATTACATTGTTAGTATACTGATGAAGGATGCCGATCTCCTGAATCCAGTCATATTGATCTCCTGGATCAATCAAGAGAAGTCATTCTTTTTTGTTCAATAGATAAAGGAAACTGTTTTCTTTCTGTTGGTTTGTCTGATGCAATATCTATACTTTGTTATTTGTAATTCTGCTGCTATGCTAAAGGCAATCTTGCAAATGTATAATTAAAAAGTCACTCAAAATAAAGTCACTGTGCCATCTAGAAACTAATCATTGTTTCTTACTCCAGTTTTCTTGTGAACTTCATAATGCTTTGGGCAATTACTATGCATTGTCCAACAGTACACCTATTATCTATCTTCTTAGGTACTTTCTGTGGGAAAAACAAGGGTCAGATCTGCCTTCCTTGTCCTCCAAATAGTTTCTCCAGCACCAGTGGACAAAAGGCCTGTGACATATGCAGGCAGTGTGAAGGTATGATTTAAAAGATGTATGTTGATCCGGGCATGTGTTGGGACGACGGGTTTTTATTCCCTAGTGTGTTGATCTCGGTGGAAAGTGTTAAGTGTTAACTATGCTGGTTCCTCTGTCAAAAGGCAGGTGCAGTAAAATAATTTGTTGTAAAAGCAATAATTTGTAGATTGAGGTTTTAAATATTAGAAGAAACACTCATTTGACCAGAGAGAAGTGTTTAATTAGGAAAATGTAAAAATGTCTTCTACTGAGATTTAAAAAATGAACTTTATGCTCTAAGGTCATTAGGAACATTATAAGAGTGAGCATGGTTTTTGTGGGTTTGTTCAGGATGATTTTTATTGCAGAACATAAATTTGCTTCCTGGATTCAGAGGTCAGCTGTCATGTAACTTGGGAAACTTTGTAGGTGTTTTCAGGACCAAGAAGGTGTGTTCCCCCATCAGCAATGCAGAGTGTGAGTGCATCTCAGGATTCCACTGCTTGGGGGCAGGATGCACCATGTGTGAACCGGATTGTAAACAAGGTCAAGAATTAACCAGAGAGGGTAGGTTTGCTCTTCTTCAATCTAGTGCAAGTCTGTTTATCTAGACATATGTCATTAATTTAGGTCTTGGTCCTTTGAATATAAAGTAAAACATAGATTAATAGAACCTTAAAGTAACATGCAATGAACCACTGAGCCAAGTATACGATATTTACAAAATTATTTTTCAATCAATGGAAATAATTTGAAATCACAACATTTGTTACTCACCAGGATTATGCATTTGCATACATTCTATACATATATATACAATATTCTATGTACAATTAGAATAAAAACTTTAGTCATCTTGGGGTTTCGTTTCAAGAAGCATTGTTGAACAGTCTGTGTAGATTGTATTAAGTTAATGACTTTATTATTATGTAATTATGTTCATCACAGGAAAAGTTATGAAATCATAAAAAATTCCCTTTTTTATTGTTGCTTTAATTTTTATGCAGGTTGTAAAGACTGTCGCTTTGGGACATTTAATGATCAGAAACATGGCTCTTGTCAACCGTGGACAAAGTACGTATAATTTCCTCTTGCTTTCAAAATAGAGAATCTGGATTAACATTTTTGGTTTATTTATTTATTTATTTTTTATAAAGTTTTTTTTTTTTAAAGATTTTCTTTATTTATTTGTTAGAGAGAGAGAGAGAGAGCACAAGCAGGGGGGATGGCAGGGAGAGGAAGAAGCAGTCTCCCCACTGAGCAAGGAGCCCGATGTGGGACTCGATCCCAGGACCCTGGGATCCTGACCTGAGCTGAAGGCAGACGCTTAACCGACTGAGCCACCCAGGTGTCCCTGGGTTAACATTTTTAAAGACAAAGAATGTTATCAATGAAGTTTTAAAAAAATCTCTCTGGGACGCCTGGCTGCCTCAGTCGGTGGAGCATGTGACTCTTGATCTCAGGGTCATGAGTGAAGCCCCACGTGGGCCTATCAAATATAAGCATAGAAGAGCATATGAATGGGCAGTGTGTGAACAGTATGAGGTAGGAGTGATTTGATACAAAGTGGGCATTTTCTCCAGAAATGATGCCCAGAGCATTTAGCTCAGATTTACTAGAACTTTGTTACTGTCTGCCCCAGCTGAGAACAGTCATTCTGTTCTCTTTCCTTCCAATCTCTTTGCTGTCTCTTACCTTTCCTCACTGATCACTCAGCCCATCTTCAAGGGTTCAAGGCCAGCATTGAGGATGACACAAGAATGGTATAAATTATGTTTCCTACCCTCAAAAACACAACACCTACTTGGGCAAACAAGACCATCACAGAAGTAAAACAGCCAACAGCATACATGGGAATATGCCTGTTGACCGGTGTGATCAGGATCAGAGCTACTCAGAGTGTGGTCTGTGGACAGGTGCTGGTCCACGGACAGTTTGTGGTGTCTGTGGCAGGAACACTACACATTCTAAGAGTGAGCGTTTAGAAGTGTGAAAGGCAATTGGCGGAGTTATATGTGTCCATCAACTCTAATAAAAATTGAGGTCTTGTATTTTGTATGCTTTTGTTCTTTTTTTCCATTTGATTTTCTTACTAGAAAATCATTTTGATTAATATTTTCCATTTACATTCTTAGGTGTTACAAAAATATTGGTTTGTACAGATTGGGAAAGTTTTTTTTAAGGTCTTTCAACACAAGTAGTTCAGAGAAGTCAATGAGTCTGCATGGAAAGTGGGATTGAACTGGTTTTGGAAGAAGAGTGGGTTTGCATTAGGTAAAGGGATGAGGGAAAAGACATAGGACAATGGTGATGGTGATGATGGTATGTTGATGGGGATGATGATGATGGTGATGGTGATGATGGTATGTTGATGGGGATGATGATGATGGTGATGATAGCTACCATTTACTGGGATGTGTGGGTCTGGGTTCATAATGTCCAGCCCTACAAGTGTGTCCCTGGGGTCATTCATTTGCTCTTCACAACAGTCCTTGGTGCATGTATTCCTTATTTTACAGATGAGAAAACAAGCTTAGAGAGATTTTCTTAACTTGCCCATGGTCATTCTGCACAGAGACAGACCCTGGGCTCAAACCCTTGTCTGTCTGATGCCAACACATCATAAGGTTAGGAACTCCTAACCGTTGTACTAGGTTGTCTGTCCTTCATATATGCCAGAGATGGTCAAATATGCTTAAGAAATTGAGGGTGAGAGACTAACCAGGCAAAACAGTCTGGGGACAGTTGTGGGACAGGGCTCCCCAGCCTGGGAAGAAAGAAGAATCCAGTTAGGTGGGTAGGATAGGGTGAATTATGGAGAACTGTGAAAGTTAGAGGAAGCCAGTCAGTCAAGTGTATGTTTTCTGTAGTATCTTTATGAACCCAGACCCACACCCTTTTGTCACTAGGTTGCTTTATTGGATGGAAAATGTCAATATTTTTAATTAGAATGACCTGTACCTAAATTAATTATTTGAACTCTTTTCATTGAATGGTCTAAGCTGTTCTTTGGGTGGCAAATCTGTACTTGTGAATGGGACAAAGGAAAGTGATGCAGTATGTGGACCAGCTTCGGCTGACTTCTCTCCAGGTACAACCTCTGCCTCCTCGTCTGCCCCTGCAAGAGATCCAGGTAGCTGGTTCGTTGCTATTGCATCAGAGTGAATGTAGTATGGCTGTTCTGATTGGAATCTAAATCACCCCAATACTGTGATGTCTCACATCTCTGCCTACAATGGGCACCTCCTGCATGCCTTCCTTCTTTTATCCTGGTGTCAAGAAACCCATCAGCTTTTTTTAAGTGTTTGTCATACAATCTGAGACACACATTAGTAAGCAGAACAAGGTGAAACTACCCAGACAAATACTACACCTTTGATAATGTCAAATTAAGGGGATTATGGAGTCCCATATTTTCTATATTCTAGAGAGGCCAAGCTATTTAATTTTTGTGGGTCTCTGGAAAAATTATTTAGGTTTATTTAAAAAAAGTTTTCTTATACGCAAGCAAGTTTATTAGGTTAGAGATGTCCAAGACCCCACTTCTCCTTGTGATTAGGGGTTTACCAATGTAACTATAAAAATAGGTATATTTGCAAAACTGTATATCTGCATGCATTTCTCCTTTTGCTCTTTTTTAAAGGTCACACCCCCCAGATCATCATCTTCTTTCTTGCACTGACGTCGGCTGCCATGCTGTTCCTGGTGTTCTTTCTGGTGCTCCGTTTCTCTGTTCTTAAACATGGCAGAAAGAAACTCCTGTATTTATTCAAACAACGTAAGACCAATATAAACATATTCAATATGAGCTCGTCTGAGACAAGGCTTTTTATAGTAGAAAGGAAAAGTTTCTTTTTTAAAAGATTTTATTCATTCATTTGAGAGAGAAAATGAGAGAGAGAGAGCACATGAGAGGGGGGAGGGTCAGAAGGAGAAGCAGACTCCCCGCTGAGCAGGGAGCCCAATGTTGGACTCGATCCTGGAACTCCAGGATCATGACCTGAACGGAAGGCAGTCGCTCAACCAACTGAGCCACCCAGGCGTCCCAGGAAAAGATTCTTTTTTTGGTTAGTATAGCACAGAGGTTATGTTATCAAGCAGGGGCAATTTTGCCCCCAAGCGGACATTTGGTAATGTCTGGAGACAGTTTTGATGATCACAGCCTTGGGGGTGTGGAGAGCGTCTAGTGAAAGGAGTCAGAGATGTTGCTGAAATTCTACAATGCACAGGAAAACAGTTACCCACCCCCCAAGTTCTCACCAAAATCTCTGATTTAAAGAATTATCCTTCCCGCCTTCACCCCCACCTACAATACAAATGCTTTGCCAAGAGTAGTGATGAGTAATTAGTGAGTTGCAATGAAACTGTAATCCATTTTTTAAATTTTTAGACCATTAAAAAAAAACTTTCTATTTTGAAATAATTATAGGTTTACTGGAAGTTGTAAAGACAGTACAGAAAAGTCTCGTGTTGTTCATGGGGTTACATCTTCTGTAACTAGAGCACAATATGAAAACCAGGCAGTTGACTTTGGCACATTGTGTGTGTCTAGCTGTATGTCGTTTGGTCACATGTGTAGATTGGGGTAACCTCCTGCACAACCAATACAGAAGTATTCTCTCACCACCAGGATCCCCTTCTGCTGGTCCTTTGTGGTCACATACACTCCCTCCCCACTCCCCACTGGCAGCACAAGTCTGTTTTCCGTCTCTACACTTTTTTTTTTTCAAAGATTTTATTTATTTATTTGTCAGAGACAGAGAGAGAGCAAGTACAAGCAGGGGGAGCGGCAGGCAGAGGGAGAAGCAGACTCCTGGCTGAGCAAGGAGCCCAATGCAGGACTTGATCCCAGGACCATGACTTGAGCAGAAGGCAGATGATTAATTGAGTGAGCCACCCAGGTGGCCCCCATCTCTACACTTTTGTCACTTAGAGAATGTTATATAAATAGAAGCACATAATATATAAGTGGATTATAAGCATGTGACCTTTTCAGATTAGCTTTTTTCACTCAGCTTCATGCCACTAAGGTCCACCCAAGGCATGATGTGCTTCAACGGTGGGCTCTTTTTTTTTTTAACCGCTGACCAGTGTTCCATGGCATGGTTGAACCTCAGTTTGTTTGACCATTCACCAACTGAGGGACATTTTGATTGTTTCCAGTTTTTGACTATTGCATATAAAGCCTTTGTGAATAATCGTGTACAGGTTATGTGTGGATGTAAGTTTTCACATTGCTAACATAAAAGCCAGGAGTGCAATTTCTGGGCCATGTGGTTTGTTGTTTTAAGAAACTGCCGAACTACTTTCTGGAGGAGTTGTACCATTTAACGTTCCACCAGTGGCATATGAGTGATCATTTCTCCTCACTCTTGCCAGCATTTTGTACTGCCACAGTTTCTTACCCAGCTGTTCTAAGAGGAATACAGTGATAGCCCACTGTGGTCATTTGCCTTCCCCTAAGGGTCAAACAGCTTTTCACATACTTCTTTTTTTTTTTTTAAGGTTTTATTTATTTGAGAGAGAGAGAGAGAGCGAGAGAGCACAAAACAGGGGCAGCGGGAGAGAAAGAGGGAGAAGCAGGCTCCCCATCTAGCAAGGAGTCCAACCCTGGGATGATGACCTGAGCCAAAGGCAGGTGCTTAACCGACTGAGCCACCCAGGTGCCCCTCACGTACTTATTTTACACCTGTGTATTTTCCTCAGTGAAAGGTTCCTTCATGTCTTTGGTCTATTTTCTAATGGGATTTTTGTCTGTTTTACTGTTGACATTGGAGAGTCCTTGATACCTTCTAGGTCCTTCAGCAGGTGTGGGGTTTGTGTTTCTGCCCACTCTGTACCTTGCCTTTCCCTCCTCTTCATGGAGTCTTCTGCAGAGAAAAAAGTTTTAATTTTGATAAAGTACAATTCGCCAGTTTTTTTCATACATGGAGTCGTGTCTGAGAACTCTTCAAGTCCTGGATCGCAAAGATTTTTATTTTCTCCTTTCTCAATGTTTTACATTTAAATCATGGTTTATTTTTAGTTAAGTGTTGTGTAAGGTGTGAGAGGTTTAGGTCAAGGATTTTTTTTTTTTTTTTTTTTTGCTTTCAATGTCCAATTGCTCCAGCGTCACTTGTTGAAAACATTATTCTTCCTCTACTGAATTGTTTTTGTGGCTTTCTCGAAAATCAGTTAATTATACTTGTGTGGGGGCTATTTCTGGTTTTTCCCTTTTGTTCCACTGTTCTGTGTGTTTATTCTCTGCCAGTACCACACTGTCGTGATTACTGTGGCTATAAAACTGGTCTTGAAAGTAGGTAGGGGGTAGATGGATTTTTCCTGCTTTATTCTTCTTTTTCAACATTGTTTTAGCTATTTTACTTCCTTTGCATTTCCATATAAATTTTTAGGACAATCTTATCTGTATCTACAAGAAGTCAGCTGGGATTCTGAAAGCAACTGTGGTAAACCTGTATATTAATTTGGTGAGAATTGATGTCTTTACTATGTTAAGTATTTATGTCTTAACATAGTAAAGACATTTCTTTTATTTCTTTTTCTTTTATTTCTTTCATCAGCATTTTGTGGTTTTCAGCATACCAATCCTGTACATATTTTGTTAAATTTAGGCCTTAGCATGTACATTTTTTTAAGAACTGCAAATGGTATTTTATATTAAATTTTGGCTTCCAGCTGTTCGTTGAGAGAGAGAGAGAGAGAGAGAGAGTTGTTATTCTATAAGAGTATAGTTGATTTTCATAGATTGATCTTGTATTCTGTGATCTTGCTGAACTTGCTTATTAGTTCTAGGAGCATGTTGTAAATTCCTTGGGATTTTACATGGACTATAATGTCATCTGCAAATAGAGACAGTTTCATTTTTTCTTTTCCAATCTGCATTTCTTTTTTTTCTTTTTCTTGACTTTATGTTGGCTAGAACTTCCAGCACTATGTCAAATAAAGTGTGGTCAGAGTGAATATCCTTGCCTCACTTCTAATCTTAGGTAAAAATCATTCAGTCTTTCACCAGTATGATGTAAGCAATAGGTTTTTAGTAGATCTTCTTTATCAAGTTGAGGAAGTCCCTCCTCTGGTGTTTAATTTTGTCAAGTGCTTTTTCTGCATCAATTGATATGATCATGTGACTTTTCTTCATCAGCCTAAGATGGTGGATTACATAGATTCATGTTTGAATATTGAACCAGCCTTGCATCCCTAGACTAAATTTCACTTGGTCATGGTATATAATTCTTTTTATATACTGCTTAATTCTATTTGTTAATATTTTGTTAAGAATTTTTGTAGCTACATTAACATGAGGGATAGTGGTCTATGTTTTTTTTTTTTTCCTAGAATTGTCTTTGTCTGGTTTTGGTATCAGACTAATACTGGCTTCCTCAAATAAGTTGGGACGTGTTCCTTCTTTATTTGCTGGAAGAGAGTGTGTAGAGTGATGTTAATTCTTCTTTAGATAGTTGGTAGAATTCTCTAGTGAAACTATCTGGACCTGAAGATTTTCTTTTTGGAGATTTTTAATTACAAAATCAATTTCCTTAATAATATTAGGATATTATTAATATCTAATAACTACTTCATAGTGAGCAAGTTGTGATCATGTTTTTTGAGGAATTTGTCCATTTCCTTGAAATTGTGAAATGTATGTGTTTAAGTTATTCATAGTATTCCCTTATTATCTACTTAATTCTCCAAATATATTTGTGAGCTTGTGTATTTCCCTTTTCAGTTTTGTCAGGTTCAGCTTCACTTTTTTTTTTTTAAAGATTGATTGATTGATTGATTGATTTGACAGAGACACAGCAAGAGAGGGAATATAAGCAGGGGGAGTGGGAGAGGGAGAAGCAAGCTTCCCGCTCAGCAGAAAGCCCGATGTGGGGCTTGATCCCAGGACCCTGGGATCATGACCTGAGCCGAAGGCAGACGCTCAATGACTGAGCCACCCAGGCGCCCCCAGCTTCACCTGTTTTGCAGCTTGATTGATGTACACACATTTAGAATTGCTAAATACTGGGTAAATACTGGTCTTCTGGGTAAATTGACTTTTTTAAAATTAAAATTATGAAAGTTCCCTCTCTGTGCTGATAATTTTTTTTGCTCTGAAATCTACTTTATCTGATATTAATATAGCCCTGCTTTAAAAAATTAATATATACATGGTATACCTTTTTGCATTCTTTTACTTTCAACCCAACTATATTTTATATTTTTATAAAGATTTTATTTATTTATTTGAGAGAGGGAAAGAGAGAGAGTGTGCATGAACACGAGTGGGGGAGGGGCAGAGGGAGAGGAAGAGAGAGAATCTTTAAAAAAATTTTTTTTTATTATTAACATATAACGTATTATTTGTTTCAGGGGTACAGGTCTGTGATTCATCAGTCTTACACAATACACAGCACTCACCACAACACATACCCTCCCCAATGTCCATCACCCAGCCACCCCATCCCTCCCACCCCCACCACTCCAGCAAGCCTCAGTTTGTTTCCTGAGATTAGGAGTGAAAGAGAGAATCTTAAGAGGACTCCACACTGAGTGCAGAGTCAGACACAGGGCTTGATCTCACGACCCTGAGATCATGACTTGAGCTGACACCAAGAGTCAGATGCTTAACCAACTGAGTCACCCAGGCGCCCCCATTTTATACTTGAAGTGAATTTCTTGTAGACAACATATAATGGTCACTCTACTAATCTCTGTCTTTTAGTTGGTATATTTAAACCATATATATTTAATGTAATTATTTATATGGTAGAGCTTAAGATACTATTTTATTTTTTCTTTTCTGTTTGCTTTCTCTGGTTTTCATTTCTCTACATTCCTGGGATTACCTGAACATTTTTTAGAAATCCACTTCGATTTGCCTATGGTTTTTTTTTAGTGTATCTCTTTGTATAACTCTTGTCATGGCTGCTCTATTTATTATCATAATTTATCCATCTGCTAGTATCAACATTATAACACTTTGAATGAAATATAAAAATATTACCTCCCTTTGCATCTTTTTAAACTCCTCCAATTTATAATATACTTATCTTAAATATTACCACTACATACTTTGAGAACCATATTAGACACTGTTATAATTTTTGCTTCAACTGTCAAACAAAATTTGGAAAACTCAAGGGAAGGAAAGTTTATTGTATCTACCCATATATTTGTTCATTCTTTTTTTCTTTATTCCTTCCTGATGTTCCAAGATTCCTTCTTTTATCATTTCTCTTCTATTTAGACAATTTCCTTTTAGCCATTTTTTTAGGGTAGGCCTTCTGGTGACAAATTCTCTCAATTTTTCATCTGTGAATGTCTTGATCGCCCCTTCATTCCTGAAAGATATTTTCACCAGGTATTGAATTTGGGCTTCCAGGAGTTGTCACCAGCCTTTCTGGTTAGACCGGGCTGGAAGACATTCTCCACAGCAGCTGGAGCTGTGATTCAGCTCCTTGCCTGGGCATGGGCAAACCAGGCTATATAGTGGGCAGATCTGAATCAGGCAGATTTACACTCCATCAACTACCTTAGTCAGGGTGAACCCTCAACTTGGCTCTGCAGATAAACAAAGCTACTGGTTGGGATTGCTACTTGGACTCTGCAAATATGTACTCAGTCTGCCAAGATCTGTGTGCTGGTTGCTGCAAGCTCCTCTCCCTTCTCCATCACAGTCAGATTGCCAGTGGTTGGACGCTGCAGATTCCCCTGCCTTTCCTGTAGTGCAAGATCAGACTAGGAGCTCCCGTAAAGGGACCCCAATGCTGGGAGAAGCTGGAAGTTCCCTTTGGGTCCTCTTTTCCCACTGGAGGAGCCAGAGGCTTGGGAAGATCTGTCTGTGTGGTGCTGTCCTTGCCTGCAGGAGGGGCAATGTGGTCAATGGTAACTGCTTCTCTTACCCTCCTAAAACAGTCTGTCTTGGTCTCTGTGATGCAGAGGTGGGGGTGCTCCAGCCTCATCCCCATGTTCTAAGATTCTGTCAGTGGTGTCTTGTTCTTGAATAGTTCTTAGTTGTTCTTATAAAGGAGACCAAAGTTGGGAACAAACTATGTTGCCCTCTTGTGATGTCACTCCCCTTGATTATTTTTTTTACAGCAAGAAGCATGTAATATCTTAATATTAGGCACTTTTGCTTTGTTGGGCTATAAAAAAAAATCTGTTTAAGATGAAAAGTTGCTCAGGGCTGGGTGACTCAGTCAGTTGAGGGTCCAACTCTTGATTTTGGCTCAGGTCATGATCTCAGGGTCCTGAGATTGAGCCACATTGGGCTCCATACTCAGCACAGAGTCTTCTTGACCCTCTCCCTCTGCTCCTCACCCCCCAAACCCCGCTTGCGCGTACACACACACACACACACACTCTCTCTCTCAAATAAATAAATAAAATATTGGGGAAAAAAGGATGAAAATTTGCTCAGCAGTAACACAAATACTTCACCCTAACATGTAAAAGGAAACTAGGAAATTAATGTACAAATCAATTATTTAATTGCCGATAGATGGAAGTAGTGGCAGTATTTTAATATCTTGGTGTCATAAGCATTTCATTCAAAAGAAACTGTCTAGTGTGTAATCTGAGTAACCCTCAAGACTAGAATCCATACTGCTGAATTGAAACTATGGTTACGTTCGGGATATGACCAATTTTGTGCTATAGTGATTCATGCTCAAGTTTTTAGCCATCATACAAAATAAAGAAAATCATTTTTCAGGACCAATAAGAGTAATTGGTAAGAAGAAATTGTAAATAATCCTGAGAAAAAACTCCTACTTGCTATCGTCTCTCTTATTGATAAACTTGTTCAAATTAGAGTTGAGCGTGGTTGTGACTAGAGATGTCCTGTGACTGTGATTTACAGAAACTGGATGTTAAATGGCTAAAACAAACCGCAAAAGACAAGTTGTTTTTAAATTACTTTTCAGCATTTGTGAGGCCAGTACAAACTGCTCAAGAGGAAGATGCCTGTAGTTGCCGATTTCCAGAAGAAGAAGAAGGAGAATGTGAGCTGTAAAGCAGAAATCCAAAACTCCACTGGGACTGTCTTGAGAAGGATTACAGGAGAAACATGAAGGATCCCACCATCATATCTTTTTAAATTGAAGACACTCGTCCTAGATAAGACTCAGGATTACCCCCAAATTTTTTCAAATACCGACAGGTTAGCCTTTAAAAAATGTACCCCTTTTAGCACATGTATGGGACAGAGCTTGTGGGAAAGGGGCATTTTCTAGATAATGCTTAATAGGCTTCAGCTAGTTTGTTTTTGAAATCCAAAGAGAATTATACTTAAAATTACATCACATAGGATAATGGCCCAGCTAAAATGATAGCTAAAAATCAATTCCATTTTGTGTGTGTGTGTGCTAATATAACATATGACAAAAAGCCATAAGATGCAGGAAATACCCCCAACCAAACTTTCCATTGGTTCGGATATTCAAGACAATGAGCTCTACTGATATGAGGGGAGAAATTATGACAGTGCCCAGATTTGAGGTCAAGGGAAAAATATCTCAGACCTTGAGGGAGAGTTTTGGAAAGAGTTCCAATGTCTTTGCACATTTTGTGGTCCCCCCCATCTTTGTATCTTCTGCTTTGTATTGCTCCTCTCTGAACCAGGGCTTACGTTTTGCTTCTTTGTTGTTTAGATTTTTTTTATTTATTATTGAAGTATAATCGACAATGTTATATTAGTTTCAGGTGTACAACATAGAGGCTCCACAATTCTGTACATTACTCAGTGCTCACCGTGATGAGTATTGTCCCCATCTGTCCCCATATGGCGTTATTACAGTATTATTGACCGTATTCCCGATGCTGTACTTTTCATCTCTGTGACTTGTTTATTTTAGAATTAGAAGTTTGTGTCTCTTAATCCCCTTCATCTGTTTTGCCCATTTTAAAAAATTGGCTTATGTGTTTTCGATTCTTAGGAACATTAAAAATAATATCTGGCACATACACTAAATAAATGGAAGAAGTGGGAATGAACAATCATAGAATGAAGTCCCATGAACCCATAGCCCAACCAGAGGACTAGAGCGGAGTTGTCAAACTTCCACAGGCCAGATATTAGGGGTCATGTGTCTCTGGATGGCTTATGAGCTAAAAATGATTTTTACATGTTTAAATAGTTAAAAACAAATCAAAAGAAGACTAATATCTAATGACATGAAAAAGTATGTAAAATTCAAATTTCAGAGTCCATAAATAAAGTTTTATTGGAACAAACAACCATACTCAGGTGGCTTTTGGGTTACAACAGCAGATTTGAGTAGAGACAAAACACTGTAAGGCCCACAAAGCCTGCAATATTGAACATCTGACCCTTCATAGGGTCAGAGTCAAGGTCAACCACCATCTGTGTGTTGCTTCCCTCCCTCATCTGCCTACCTCCCCACCTTGCCCCCAGGCACGCTCTCTCAGGAAGGTCAATTTGATCCATTCCCTTGCTTAAAAAAAGAATCATTGCTCATATATTTATGAGCAATGTTATTTAATTTTGCTTGTTTTTGAGCTTCATGAAACTATGTTATTTAATTTTGCTTATTTTTGAGCTTTATGAAAATGGTATTATGCTGTATGTGACTTGCTTTATTTTTTTTGTGACTTGCTTTAATCACTCAAAATTCTATTTATAAAGACTCATTCATGTTATTGTGTATAACTAGAATACATTCTTTCTGATGATTGTATCATTTTACAAATATACCATAATTTATCGATCCATTCTGAACCAAAGGACGTTTGAGTTGTTTCCAGGTTTTTTTGCAATTATAGACAATGTTGATATGAATGTTCTTTTGTGTGTGTCTTGTGGAAATGTCTCTAGGGAAACTTCCTTAGAGTGAAATTTCTGGGTCTTAGGGCACATGAATGTTCAACCTTATGAGCTAAGTTATGCAGAAATAAAAAATGACCCTCCTTACCCACCCCCACCTCCAATCTTAATGGACTACAGCAAAACAACAGAGATGCAGAGATGCATTTCTTGCTGTCATCACATGCTGGCCGTGCCTCTGTCCCACATTATGTCACTTGGGTTTAGGTGGAAGGAGCAGCTTCCACTTGGAATGCTGGGCGTCTCATGGCAAAGGGGTACCGGCCACTTTGCTCACAGCTGGTTGGCTAGATTCTAACCTTTAGAGCAAGTCACACAGTGAAGCTGTGCATCAACGGGGTGGAAGGCCTAATCTTCACCCAGGGAGGACCAGAAAATATGCCTGAACAATAAGAAGTCCGCTGTGGTGCTGAACTGCTTTTCAGAACAGTGGTTCTAAGTCATGCACCTGTCAGCCTCACTGAATCCCATCCTTGCTACCCTCCAAGATCGTCAGACTCTTAACTTTGCCCATCTAGTGGGTTTAAGAGGGCATCTCACTGTGGTCTAATTTTGCATTTCCCAAATTACTAATGAGCATCTTGTCGCATGTTCTTATATCATTTGTGTTTCTTTTTGTGAAACGCTTGCTCATGTTTTTTGCACATTTTTTAAAAAGATTTATTTGAGAGAAAGAGAGCATCCATGGAGGGGCAGAAGGGGAGGAAGAGGAGAGAGAATCCTCAAGCAGGCTCTCTCCTGAGCACAGAGCCCGCTCATCCCATGACCTTGAGATCATGACCTGAGCTGAAATCAAGAGTCAGAGGCTTAACCTACTGTGCCACCCAGGCGCCCCATTTTCCACTCATTTTTAAAAACTTGGTTGTCTTTTTCTTATTGGTTCATAGTTCTTCATATATTCTAGATAATAATCTTTGGTCACTTGTATATGTTATAAATATCTGCTTTGTTTGTAATCTTTTTCTCTTTTACATTGTGGCTTTTTCAGTCTTTCTAGTAATAAGCAAAAAATTTCTTACCTTAATTTGGTTAAATGTACAGCTCATTTCTTATATAGTTAACACTTTTTTTCTTTCCTGATTAAAGAAGCCCCTCCCTGCCCCAGTATCATAAAGATACTTTCTCACCTTTTATTCTGAAAGTTTTAAGTGTCTATTTAAGTCTAAACTATCAAGAACTGGCTATTGCATGTGTTGTGAGGTCGTGGTCCAACTGTGAGTTCTGTGTGCAGGTAACCACTAGACCCAGTGCCATTTATTCCATGGTCCTTTTCCCTGCGGATCTACACCACCACCTCTGTCCTTCACTGAGTTTCCACATGTCCTTGCATCCATTCCTAGGCTCTCTGTTCTGTTCCATTGGTCAAGGAGTCTGTGCCCATGCAAATACCACACTGTCTTTGTTACAGCAGCTTTATAAAAGCTCTTGATACCTGGTAGGACAAATATTTAATTTAATGTCCCATAAAATTTTATAGTTTCTCCAGAAGTTTGCGCATCATTTATTAGATTTATTTCTAGGTACCTTGCTTTGTGTTTGCTTCTTATTTTATAATTTTTATTTATTATTTATTTTTTAAAAGTGGACCCCATGCCCAATGTGGGGCTTGAACTCACAATCCTGAGATCAAGAGTTGCACGCTCTACTGACTGAGCCAACCAGGCACCCCATGTTTGCTTTTTAGGTGGTTTTGTTTGTTGTCAGAGTATAAAGATGTAGTTGATTTGCTTATATTAGTTCATAGCCAGTCTCCTTGTTAAACTTTTTTATTATTTCTGATAGAATGTATGTAGATTCTTTTGGGTTTTCTGTTCAATCATGTTATTTGTTATAATAATAGTTTCTTCCTTTTCTAATCCTTTGTTTTTTATGTCTTTTCTGCTTGACTTAGTGCTGGGTCTTGCAGGGCAATGTAATAGTCTTTTCCATCTTATTTATAGGGGATATTTTCAGGAAATTTTTTTTTAAATATACTTCATCAGGTTAAGTTCCCTTCTGCTCCTGGCTTGTGAAGAGGGTTAGTTTTTATTTTTAAATTATGAATGCGTATTGAATTTTACCAAATGATTTTTCTGGGGGAGAAAAGAATAATTTGCTGATGAGTCAGTCAGTGATTCTATCATCTTTGACTTGGATCTGAACTTCAGCCACAGTCCAAGAAAATTACTGCCTGAAAGAAATATAATGTAATAATAGGTATTTCTGTTTTTCTCCCTTCTTTAAAGGATGCATTTTTTTTAACACTTTGGTGTATGATTTAATTATATGTGCTCAGAAAAAATTTGTTGTTTTAATTTAAAAAGATCCAGTACCTTCATTTTTCTTTGAATCTTGTGGATTTCCAGTGCCACTTCAAGATCAAGGCTGGGGTAGAAATTCTAATGTGGCTTTCCCTCTCAGCTTTGGGCACCTGGTGTGTAATTCTCTGTGGTCCATTACCCACATACACAAAAGGATTGGTCATGCTCTACCATCTTGGGTCACCCTCGCTAACTCAACTAAACTCATTTGTCCCAGATTAGAAACACAGGAAGTCCAGTTTATTCTGTGTTTATTACTCAGACTGTATGATACTTTTATCATGGTATATTTTGTTATAACGTATAAAACTTATAAATGAAAAACAAAGGAATTTGGGGTAAGAGTCACTTTCCCCCTAAATGACAGTTAACAAAGAAAGAAAACCAAGACAGACTAATACGATCCCCCTTGGGGATTAATTTAGGAATCTGATAGTTAAGTTTGATAGAAATGAGTGTGTATTTTTACAAAAATAAATGAGCATATTTAGGGGTGTACACATTGGAAACAGTTTTCTAAATGCTTAAAAGCAAGCTTAGGTTACTTCTGAAACAAATTTTTCTTTTCTTTTCTGGAGGAAGGCATCATTCTGATGGAAACTTTTGATATGAGGGGCATATGGCTGCTAAAGTGGGTGTCTTACTTCTGTGCAGAGCAGACCTTTCCATTTGTGGGTGAGAAGTACCCATGGACCTCAGTTTGGGTGCATTATATGTGGTCTGTGTGTGATGGGGTGGGGAGACTGGTCATTACCAATGTTTTTTAAAAAAGGGCTCTATAATAAAAACACAAAGCTATCATTTTCACAGAAAAAAGAATATCTAAGAAAAGAGCTTTTTTTTTTTTTTTTTTAAAACCCTTCATATTACTATGGTAGCATCAAATCGTAAATGCTAATCATGAAATACCATGCCATTCTTTGTAAACCATGGAAGCAGACTTTAGTGCCAGGGTATGTGAAAGATTTAGAGTTTGGGATTTCTTGCTCCCAACATTTTAGTTACATAAAAATGAACGTTACTTTTTTTTTTATCAATATAGATTCTGATAGCTGTATCTCAAATGAATTGTCATTGAAACCTTTCAAATATGTCTCTTACAAATTCATTGAAGAGGCTGATGCTGACTCTGAAATACAGATCACCCCTCCACTGAACTAGCATCCCTCCAGTGCTCTGCACCAGGCACCATGTGAGGGCACAGAGATTAAGGACCCACTGCCCACCTGAGGGCTTTGAGTCCAGGAGACTGACCGGTACAACCTGAGAAGAGACATAGTGTCACCAAGACTTACTGTGTGCCAGGAATACCATTGTGAAAGTAGTTGGAAGGGGTCTCCCAGCCTGGTAGGGAGACAGTTGTTGTGATGGGGTGGAGGTGGGGCTCTGTGTGGTGGGAGGCCAGCTCAAGAAGGGGTGGAGGGAGGAGGGAAGGCTTTGGGGGGGTGAGGAGGAGTTATCTACTCCCAGTGTGTGTTTCCCAGAAGGAGCAAAGGGCCCAGGCAAAGGGGAGGGAAGGTGAGGGTTGGGGACTGAGAGCAGATGAAGGAAGCTGCAGGGCCAGCAGGGAACACATACCCAGATTTTATAGGCTATGTTGGGAAGCTTGGATTTTAAACTGTGGACACTGACTTCGGAACCAGGGAAGGGATTTGATTAGATTTGTACTTGGGAAAGAGCTCCCTGGTTATAGTCAGGAAAATGGATTAATGAGAGGCAAGACTGGACTCCAAGCCAGATGAAGGGGTTCCTGCAGGAGTCAGGGTGAGCCTTTTGGGGTGCAGCTCCTGGTTTCTGACCTGGGCAGCTGGGGGGAATGGTGTGTAGGCAGAGCCAAGGCCCTGCAGGAGATGCTGGGGCAGGAAGGAGCTGGTTCAGTGTCAGCATGGACCCTAGGGGTGCCCGGCATAGGGCCAAGTTGGTGGTGGGAGAGAGGGACAGGGAAAGTGGTCTTGCAGAGGCCGGGGTAGGGTCTCCTGAATCCAGTAGGTGAAAGAAGAGTCAGGATGGCCAAGGTCAACAAGAGGCCAGGAAGTGACAATAAAACATACTTTAGGTTTAGCAACAAGACAGTCACCTTACTGGAAGGCCTTGCGAGGGAGTGTTAACTGTGAAAGCCAAGCCCTGGGACGGAGAAAGTCATGGAGAGTGACAGCAAATGCACTCACACTTTTCAAGATTCAGACAAAAGAAAGGAGATGGTGTGAGACCTAGGGGCTGCCCGTGATCTTGGGTAGAGAATCACATAAAACAGGGGATGCCCAATGAAATCCAATCTTCAGAGAAACAATAATTTCTCAGTATAAATATGCCCCAGGCAGCATTTGGAACATGCTTTTACTAAAAATTATCTGTTGTTTATCTGAAATTCAAATTTACCTGGGAGTTCTGTATATTTATTTGCTGATTTTGGCAAACCTAGTGATGGGGGAGTACAGTTGATTCTTGAAAAATGTAGGAGTTTAGGGGCACCCAACCCTCTGTGCCCCCAGTTAAAAACCTGCCTATAGGGGTCGCAGCAGCTCGGGCGGCGGGAGGAGCGGTAGCGGCCAGGCAGCCCAGCTTCGCGAAGGGTCTCGGCGCGCCGCGGCCCGCAGGCACCCGGCACGCGCCCGCCCCGCCGCCACGATGCCCAAGAGGAAGGTCAGCTCCGCCGAGGGGGCGTCGAAGGAGGAGCCCAAGAGGAGGTCGGCGAGGTTGTCAGCTAAACCTGCTCCTGCAAAAGTGGAAACGAAGCCAAAAAAGGCGGCAGGAAAGGATAAATCTTCAGACAAAAGAGTGCAAACAAAGGGGAAAAGGGGAGCAAAGGGAAAACAGGCTGAAGTGGCTAACCAAGAAACGAAAGAAGACTTACCTGCAGAAAACGGAGAAACTAAAAATGAGGAGAGTCCAGCCTCCGATGAAGCAGGAGAGAAAGAAGCCAAGTCTGATTAATACCATAAACCATGTCTTATCAGCGGTCCCTGTCGCCCTTCTTGTACAATCCAGAGGAATATTTTTATCAACTATTTTGTAAATGCAAGTTTTTTAGTAGCTCTAGAAACATTTTTAAGAAGGAGGGAATCCCACCTCATCCCATTTTTTAAGTGTAAATGCTTTTTTTTAAGAGGTGAAATCATTTGCTGGTTGTTTATTTTTTGGTACAACCAGGAAATAGTGGGATATTGAATGTGGGAGGCTTTGATTGTCTTGGGTGTCAGCTCAACATTCCATAGCTGGGGTAGTTTTTATATCCTATAATACCAAGCATACTAAATGGCAATTTGGAGTCGGTCGTGCATTTACTATGTCTTGAATATTTTAAATTACTTCTATTCCCATGTTGTTTTTGGTAGAATTGTTTCCTAAAGAAAACCACTCCTAGATCTTGGCTCTCCCGGTCCGAATTCTTGTGCACTCTGTAACATCTTGGTCGTTGTAGTCCGGTTTTCCTAGTAACTGTTAATGTGCTGTGCAAGATTGAGGATCTGAGTATGTAGTATATATGATATTAAATTGTGAATTAATGGGACTTAATGTAACAGTGTATCAGCATTTGAAGATCTTGGTACTTGATATACTGTTAAGGAAAATTTGCCTCCAAATTTTAAGCTGGAAGGTCACTGGAATAACTTTTAGAAAAGAATCACAACTACATGTTTTTTTTAGATTTTCGGTACGTATGTTAAGAATTGTGTACAAATTGAAACGTCTGTACTGATCCTCAACCAATAAAAAATTAAGAATTTAAAAAAAAAAACCTGCCTATAATTTTGGACTCCCCCAAAACTTAACTACTAACAATCTACTATTGTCCAGAAGCCTTAAGGATAACAACACAGTCAATTAACACATATAGTAAATGTTATGTGTATTATATGCTGCATTCCTACAATAAAGTAAGCCAGAGAAAATAAAAAGTCAAGAAAATTACAAGGAACAGAAAATACATTTATAGTACTGTATTTATGGGAAAAAAATCCGTATATAAGTGGACCCACACAGTTCTAACCGGTGTTCTCTTTATCACTATATGTTGCCAGCTTACTTACAATATGTCTTGGTGCCAGTCGGCTTCTGTTGATTTTGATGGGTCTTCTCTGTGCCTCCTGGATCTGGATGTCTGTTTCTTTTTCCCAGTTAGGGAAGTTTTCATCTATAATTCCTTCAAATAAGTTCTCTGCCCCCTTTTCCTCTTTTCTTCTTCTGGGACTCCTATGACATGAATGTTATTACATTTGATGGAGTCACTGAGTTCCCTAAGTCTATTCTCATGATCCATAATTCTTCTCTCTCTGTTGTTGAACTTCATTATTTTCCATTACTTTATCTTCTGTGTCACAAATTCACTCCTCTCCTTCTTCCAGCCTGCTGTTCATTACATCAAGCCTGTTTCCAATCTTGTTTACTGGGCTCTTCATCTCTGATTCTTTTTTTTTTAACTGTTTTATCTGTGCAGAAGGGTCTCCCTGATGTCTTCTTTTCTTTTCTTAAGCCCAGAGAGCATCCTTATGATTGTTGCTTTAAATTCTCCATCAGGTATGTTACTTATATCTGTTTCACTCAGATCTCTGGCGGTGGTCTTATCTTGCTCTTTCATCTGGGATGAATTCCTCCATCTTGGCATTTTGTCCAAGTCTCTGCCTTCTTCCCTATGTTAGAAAAGCCATTTATGTGTCCTGCTTCTGAGAGTAATGGTTTTTTGAAGAAGAGGTCATGTACTGTCCAGGGAGTGTCTCTGGTGGGTGCTGCGTGTGCTCTGCTGTTGTGTTCTGACTGCTCTATCCTTCAAGCGAGTCATCTGCAGAGGCTCTGAGCCCTTGCCTGCTGTGGGCAATATTTGGTCCCTGGCCTGAGTGTGGTGAGTTTTAACTAGGTGTGCTCTGGTCTCCTTGTGAAGTGAGACCTGACACCACCTCCACCAAAACTGAGGCCCTGTAGAACTCTCTGGCCCAGGAGATGTGGTGCGGGCAGGAGTTTGTGCTGGTCTTTTGAAGAAGGGGCCTTCCTTGCTAGGACTGAGGCAAGTGTGACTGAAAAGCACAATCCCACCAGAGTGGGGATGGGGTGGCACCTGGTGTAAGCAAGTTGGGCAGCCTGGGTCCGTGCTGCTTGCTTCCTGAAGGTGACTTTGTGTTTAAGCTGAGGGGTGGGGGGAAGGAAATGGTACCTTGTGCATTCCCCTGTGTGTTACTTTCTCACACCCTTTTCCATGACAAGGGCTCTGTCTTCTTCACAGCAGCCACGATCTGTTTCGCCCCCAGACCACATCTCTGCACTTCCTGCCTTCTGCGATGTGGCCTCTTCTCTCCCTTTAGTTGTGGAGTTCATTCTGCTAGTCTTCAGGCTGATTTCTGGGGTACTTAGGAAGATTTGATAGTTATCTAGTTGTGTCTGTGGGATGAGACAAGCTTAGGGTCTTCCTACTCTGCTGACATCTTCCCCCTTCCTTCTAATTTGTATTCTCTTTCTCTCTTTCTCTAAGTAGGCTCCACGCCCAGCATGGAATCCAATGCAGGGCTTGAACTCACAACCCTAAAATCAAGACCTGACCTCCGATCAAGAGTCTGATGCTTAACCGACTGAGCCACCCAGGCGCCCTCTTGTGTTCTCTTTTAATTGGAGAGACTCAAACAAGGTGAGATGCAGGTGTTTGAGAGAGTCTATAATGGGGGTCCCAGAAGCTGGTGTCTGGTGACCCAGAGGACGGGCCAGAGCATAGGGAACAGGGAGGATGGAAGATACCGGTTTCATAGGAGGATGGGGCCAGATGAATGCAAAGGCTTGTAGTCTCCTGATCTTGATGGAGGAGAACAGAAGGGGTACTTGCTAGAAGGTTCTCTGGGATCCTCTGCAGGTATGGGGGGGCGCAGGGGAGGCTGGAGGGTGGGAGAGTGGGACCTGTTTTATTGGAGGCTTGGATTGCCTCCAAGACCCAGGAGAACCCTCTCCCTGCAGGGTTGTGGGCAGATACAGTACAGGCAGATGGAGGTTCCTGCCATGGCTCAGGAGAGGTGGGGCAAACTGCTCCCAGGCTGAGGTTTTCCAGGAGGGAGCCACAAAAAGTCAGAGGGACAAGGAGGTTGAAGATACTGGCCAAGTAGCAAAAGGACTCCACATTCAGATTTTACACAGTAATTGTGTACTTGTTATAAGGGCCATTTTAATCCCGTATTCAATCTTTCTTTTTTTTTTTTTTTAAAGATTTTTATTTATTTATTTGAGAGAGAGAATGAGATAGAGAGAGAGCATGAGAGGGGGGAGGGTCAGAGGGAGAAGCAGACTCTCCGCCGAGCAGGGAGCCCGATGCAGGACTCGATCCAGGGACTCCAGGATTATGACCTGAGCCGAAGGCAGTCGCTTAACCAACTGAGCCACCCAGGCGCCCTTATTCAATCTTTCTGAAGACAGGTTAATGAATATGCTTAAACCCACAGGGTGATGGTAGAAGCAGTGCCTTACACAGCAGCCTCCTCCGGGAAAGGGGGTCTTAGTGTTTCACGGGGACCCAGTTTCAGTTTTATTTTGTTTCGTTTTTAAGATTTTATTTATTTATTTGACAGAGAGAGACACAGCGAGAGAGGGAACACAAGCAGGAGGAGTGGCAGAGGGAGAAGCAGGCTTCCGGCGGAGCAGGGAGCCCGATGCGGGGCTCCATCCCAGGACCCTGGGATCATGACCCAAGCCGAAGGCAGTAGCTTAACCAACTGAGCCACCCAGGCACCCCCAGAGTTTCAGTTTTGCTAGATGAGAAAACTGACGGGGGCTGATGGTGGTGGGGGCTGCACAGGGTGAATGTGCTTCGTGCCTATAACCTGTGCACTTAAAAATGGCTACAATGTGGCACCTGGGTGGCTCAGGTCATGATCCCAGGGTCCTCGGATCGAGCCTTGCATTGTGCTCCCTGCTCAGTGGGGAGACTGCTTCTCCCTCTCCCTCTGCCTGCCATTCCCCCTGCTTGTGCTCTCCCTCTCTCTGTCAAATAAATAAATAAAAGCTTTAAAAAAAATGGTTACAATGGTAAATTTTATGTTATGTATATTTTACCTCAATTTGAAAAAAATAGATAATTCTTTAAAAACCACGATGAGGGCAGAGAGAGGCTGTTCTGTCGACTACTCTGTCCCCCGCATCCCGCCCAGTGCCCGGCATGTAGTAGGCCTTCAGTAAAAGTACAGTGAACGCGTGAATGAGCAAATGACTGCATTCAGACGAGAGTCAGAGATGGCCAGAGGGTAAAGCAAGTGAACTGGCCACATAAGCACTCATACTCTTGTGTTCTTAGGTTTCTTTCTCTCCTCCTTATGTGCTCAGGAGAGGTTTCTAAAAATTATCCAGCTTGGCAGAATACACCTTTTTTTCGTGACATATTGCACAGAATAGAAACTCAAGAAAAACACATGCCAGCTAAGAGTTTGTCTGCTCTCACTTCCGGGGCCACCTTCTCTCGCTGACCTCCCTCCCCACCAGACATTTCCCTTTCTTTCTGCACCTGCTCCCTTGGAAGTTCCAGCTCAGCCCTCTGCCCATCCAGGCTTTGGGACCACATTTCTAGGGATTGGCATCCAAACAAATCCCCAGGATCATAAGTGGCGTGTAATTGTGCTTAGATATGCCACATCTTAAGGCCATAGCTTTATTTTTATAACTTTTTTTATTAGACAAATAACTTTTGTTGACAATTAGGAAATCCTTATACATTTAAAAAATAATAAAGCCACCATCTGCTCACTTGGCTTTTGTAATAGAGGAAGCGTCTATTGAAGATGATCCATATATTTCACTGGGATGTGGATCAGGGCATCTTCCCGTCAGTGTTAATGGGAGAAGAAAAAAATACCTTTTCATCTTTTCTAAGTTTTTTCTAGGATAATCTAAGTGTTGAATTAAAATTTTCTGGTCCCAATCAAAGGAAGGGAATCAAACACTTACCAGGCCTGTCCCATATATATCATATTTCAGAGCAACCAAATACCAGGAGGGAGGGAAATTGTGATATCAGAAAACAACAGCAACACCATCATTTTACAGCCCATAATGAAATAATTAATTCAGACAAAGATCATCAAAACCATCAGATAAAACTGGAGACTGAAAACTAGACAGACAGACAGATGGAAACATATGTACGTATGTAGATACAAATGGACACACAGAAGAGGGCTGGCTGGACTAACGGAGTAGATGAAACCTCTAATCCACACGAAAGCTAGATTTCAAAGCTGAATTCACTATGTAATCCCCTCGAAACGGCCCCTCCTCCAGCATTCTCTCTCTCTTGTTCCAGGAGTCCTGCCACCAAACACTCCCAGGCAAGGAACCTGGGGGTCGCCAGGGCCCTGTCCCTCACCCTCACCCTCACCATCAAACCAGTTTACACCCTCAGGCATGTCTCCAACTGCACAGATGTGGCCCATCACTGTACTGCCTACCCTTGATCAAGGGCTTCCCAGCATCCCCAGGGTGAAGTTCAAAATCCCAGGTCACCATCCCAGCCAGCACCAGGCCAGTCTTCCATCGAATCGCCAGTTCTCTGCGCATACCATGCTGTTCTATGACTGGGTTTGACCACAGGCTTTTCCCTCTGCATGAAATGCTCTTACCTGCCTGACAAAATCCTGCTCTTCCTTCAACATCCGCCAAAGCAGCCCCCTTCCGTGAGTCTGACCTCCCTCCACACAGCCCTCTCTCCCTCCGGAGGGTTCGTTCCTGGACCTCCTATGTCACCTCATCCCTGTGCCTCCCACGGTCTGCATACCGCCCTGCGTCCGTCCATCCATCTTCCTCTTACCTGGCTGTAAACCTCTTGAGGGCAGGAACTGTGGCTTACTCATCTCTGAATCCTCAAGTCCTATGTAGTATACAGTATGTGCTTAATAAGTGCTTCCTAAATATATTGAACATCTCCTTTAAAACTGTGGGGGAGGGGCACTTGGGGGGGCTCAGCCAGTTAAGCATCTCGGACTCTTGATTTCGGCTCAGGTCACGATTTCAGGGTCATGGGGTCAAGCCCTGCATAGGGTTCTTGGAGCTTAGCATGGAGTCTGCTTGAGATTCTCACTCTCCCTCCGCCCCTCCCCTGCTCATTCTTTTTCTCTAAGTAAATAAATAAAATCTTAAAAAAATAAAATAAAACAGAAGTGTGTGGGGGGGAAACCTTACATTTCACCTTAAGGAACACTACAAGGAAAAAAGAGGTTTATCTGTCTGATTAAACTTTTGGTGATTCTAGACAATACCGGCAGTTTTTGCCTATGGAGTTAGTAAATTCTTGACTACCTGCACTGAAGAAAGAAGCAGTGGTATGAGAATCAAGTAATTCATATTTGAACTGTAACTGACCTAGGAAGGTGTTTTAAATAGATTTACTTTTGCATTTATACTCTTTTATCATATTACATTCTCCATGGATATCCTCATGGAGGAAAGGGAGGAAGGGGCAAGGCTCATCGACCTGGGTTTTTCAATTTGTGCCATATAATCCATGTATGGATTAGTTAGAGTTGGTACACAGTTAGGAAGTTTAAAAACCTTCCAGATTTAAACAGTATGGAGGTTCCTCAAAAAGTTAAAAATAGAACTACCCTACAATTGAGTAATTGTGCTACTGGGTATTCAGCTAAAGAATACAAAAAACACTCATTCGAAGGGATACAGGCAGCCCTATGTTTATAGCAGCTTTATTTACAATAGCCAGACTATGGAAGCAGCCCAAGTGTCCATCTACATGAATGAATAAAGAAGATGTGACACACACACACACACACACACACACACACACACACACACAATGGAATATTAGCCATAAAAAAGAATGCAATCTTGCCATTTGCTGCAACATGGATGGAGCTAGAGAGTATGATGCTAAGTGAAATAAATCAGTCAGAGAAAGACAAATGCCGTATCATCTCACTGTATGTGGGATTTAAGAAACCAAACAAATGAGCAAAGGGAAAAAGAGAGAGAGAGACAAACCAAGAAAACAGACTCAACTATAGAGAACACAGTGATGGTCACCAGAGGGGAGGAGGTGAGATAGGGGATGGGGATTAAAGAGCGCACTCGTCGTGATGAGCACTAAGGTATAGACTTGTTGACTCACAATGTGGTACACTTGAACCTAATATAATGCTGGAATACATAACTATAACTAACATAACTATACTGAAATTAAAATGAACACTTAAAAAATTAAAATAGAAAAACCCTTCCAGATTTTACAAATATCTCAATCACAACATTTCCAGCATAATTTGTAGAAGCTGATTTCAGAGGATTGCTTCCCTGCCCAAGGTCTGACTTGAATGAGGCCGCCATGTAGACAGGGCCGAACTGGCTCCAGATTCCGCCTGGGATGCTGTTCCGGGCTGACCTCAGGCTCGGTCTTCTTTGCTGAGTCCTACACGAACTTTTCTTCCGGGCAACCTGCTTTCTCGACAACCCAGAACAGTCAGGGCTTTGCTTGATTTCACGGACTTTCATTCATTGTTTCAGCTTCATCCAAAAAAGCTAACACTGGCCAACATATATATTTACTTGACATATTCCTTAAAAACCCACTGTAAAAAACAAATTTCTATTAGAACCATAAAAATTAAAATATACTGAAATGGATAATAAATAGATTCTAATAGAATTTAGGGAAAAAATTACCCTAAGATCTCAATTTTAAGAACTCCTTAAAATTCTAACTTCGGCAGTTGTGGGCCAAAAAATTCTTTCACCTAATCTTTGTTGTGAAAGGTACACATGGGTAACGAAACACATGAAGTCCATTTTCCAAATCCAAATTCAGAGAGTACTAGTCAAGGAGAAAAAAGGTAACCATTTGTTTGGAGCCCCTTTGGTTCTTGCTCGGAATCTAAAAGGTGGTGGCTTCTTAATTTTCTTTGCTTTTCTCTCCCTCCCTCCCTCACTTCCTCTTTCCTTTCCTCTCCTTCCTCCCCCTCCTTTCTCTTGCTATCAGCAAGCATGACACTCAAATATAAACGTAGTAACACATGTCTGCAGGCCTTTACTCTTGCAACATTTGATTCTTTTAAATTCCAGTAGAAGCTTTTAAGTCAATCAACTGGAAAGAACAAGAGCCCTCTGCCACAAGAGGGCAGTAAACACCACCCGGCAGAGGGTTGGCCCCGGATCAAAGGGAGAAAGGGGCCTCTTCTATGGATGGGAAGACGGAGGACTGAAGTTCCGGGACTTGTCTGAGATGGTGGAGCTAGTCGCCAGAGTCTGTTATCCTCAAATATTAACATGCCCCCAAGTGCCAGAGAATGAAACAGGAGGTGCCTAGTTAGGGATGCTGTTCCCCAATAACTCAGCTGTCTGACGTTTATGTACAACTCACCAGAAGAAAAAAAGTAGATGCTCATGGACAGGAAATGAGAAACTCTTTCCTGCCTTAGGCGTTTCAACTTGCTCTTCCTTCTGCCTGGAATGCTTTCCCTCGACCTAAACCCCGGGGCTCAGACTCATGCACTGAATTATTTGCTGGGCAAGTCTGCATGGATTCCCACAGATATCTCAAACTTGAGATATTCCAAAATGGTTTAGGGTACTTGCTCGGGGTTCCACAGCACTGGACTGACCCTCCTCACTGTGATGGTGAATAGTTACTTAGCCTCTCGCTAGGTTCGTTTCCTTGTTTAAAAAATTAAGATAAGAACATCTGCATTACAAATTTTTCCCGAGGTTTCAGTGACATTACACATTCAATTAGATTGTGTATATCGTGTGGCACGGTACCTGATCACCTCAAAGCGTGGCAGCTTCTTCAGTAAAAGGTATCGTTTTCCTCCATAAACCAGCCCTTCTCACTTCCTCTCCCAAGGCCAAGAAGAGATTAGCATCCCTCCACTGTCTCTTTCACCATCTGCATTTAACTAATCAACAAATCTCAGTGTACGTTTCCAGAATCCAGTCCTACCTTTCGATCCCAACTGCCACTATCCTAATTCCTGCCGTCAGTACTTTTTGCCTGGACCACTGCTGCTGACTCCCCGCAGCCTGCCTCCCACCCAGGTTCCACACGGCAGGTAAAGTAATCTAAGTAGGATGGAGCTCAGTCATGTAATAAGAGACTACTGTGAACAGTGAAGTCATCTGGGTTTAGGGCTTAATTTGATGACATTTTTACCTCGGTTTTAATTGATCCCATCTAGAACTGATGTTTATGTGTGGTGTGAGGTAGGGATTCCATTCCATTTCTTCTACTTGTATAACCAACCTGTCCCCCCTTAATCTGCAATGTCACTCTCGAAAACTCGAGTATCCAATTACAGATGAAGTGAAATCACAGTTTTGGGGCTTCATTCACATACTAAGGTTCAAGTAAAGCCTAGGAAAAAAATTTAACTCTGCACTTGAGACCTTTCCCTCGGAAAATGTTTTCAGAATGAGCTAAAATGGGGAAAAAGCAGCCACTCCCCCACACCCATTAGCTTGTCTGGATGACAGAAACAGAGAGTTATTTATCTTAAGTTCTGCTTTAAACAAACAGACAGACAAGGTTGCTTCTGAATTTTAGCATTTAACTGAAAAATGGAGAGAGCATCCCATGATGTACATTCAGATCTTTCATCCCAGTTAGAGTATGAAATTCTTTAACAAACTTTAACAATTCTTGATTAAGAAATGAGGACTGAGCAATTTGACCTTTGTTTGGCTCTGAGTATGAAAGACTGTTTTTCAAATGTTAGTTATCTTTAAATGAATAACTGACAAATTATTGATTCTAAAACAGCTCTGTGTTGTTCCTCACCTCCCCTTTGCCACGAGCATCTATGCTGTGAATTTCTTGTGCTGATCACCCATCTTGTAGCCACTGTCTTCCCTAAGAGCAAAGGGGATGGCAATAAGAGGACCATAGTCCGGTCAGACCTTCTAGGTAGGGCCAATTTGAACTGATGCACTGGATGGTGCATTTTCTTTCTTCACAAAGGTGATGAAGAGGACAGAAGTTACACATCTGGACATTTATATTGATATTTACAAACCCAGGAGGCCAAAAAAGTCAGTAAAAGATTTAAAACAATTTCCTCGTCTGAAGAGTGGCATATTTTCTTTCCCTCTATTTCTCAGTGATCTGAAAACCCCTTCTTCCTGTAACCTTCCCACATATTCTGTTGACTTTGTTTCTGCTTTTTGTGATTGTTTTCCCCCAGTGAATGTGGCACAGACCCCATAGAAGCATCTGGATCCATTAACGGTAAATTTCACCACCGGATCGCAACCTGCATGTGGCATGGATTCGAGGGCTATGAGGTCATTGCCTCAGACAACTTCCTGGGGCTGAGAGGCACAGGGCGAGGAGCAAATCATGATAGGGAAGCCGAGGGGAGGGTCCTCTTTCCTGCCCCGGGCTGCCAGTGCTGCCGAGCACAGAAGGTTGGCCTGGGAGGTCTGACCACTGAGACTCCAGGAGCAGGTGCGGGAGCACTGTCTGCGCTCTCCCAGGTGTGTCTGAGGACCAGGAAGGGAGGCTGCCCCTCACAGGGTGGCCTCCAGCTACGATGCACACCACCAGCTTAGCTCTTTGGAGCATTGGGCTGCGTGATTCATTTTAAAGAGAATGTTTTTCTTTCATTTCATCCTTACCTGTGTCAGTTATTGATCAAACACACATAATCCATGCCTTCCTTCCCTTCTCTTGCTTTTCTTTTCACAGAAGGATCCAGACTGGCTGGATTCCATCTGCACCTTTGAGCCCTCTGAGCAGCTCATGGTGGAGGGAGCCCGTCGCCCAAGCAGCACCTGGCACAGAGCAGGTGCCCCGCGTACAAGTCGCCTATAGAGAAGGAGAGGATGTTCCAGCAAGGTACACCTATAGAAGGGCCAGGGAGTTTCATTACTCACCTTATCCTAAGGAAGGCAGCAGAGTGGGATACCACTTACTGAAAGAAGAAGATTTGCATCCAAACATACACCTCCTTTTTTGGAATGAGGAAGAAATAAAAGTTAGGATATACTTTTGTAGATGTGACGAAGGTTTGGAGAGAGGAATTAAGGTTTTTTCATACATTGGTTGTTGAAGGTGGAACTTGGAAACATTACTTTCCCGCATTTTTGTGTCTTTCAGCTTTCTGGCTATTTGAACATCTTCCTAAACGAATTTCAGAATTATTGAAAGGTTTTAGAGAACTGGTTTTGGAAAGGTTGTCAGAACAAAGATAATTGTTGAAGTAAGGAGGGAGAGGGAGAAAAAAAGAACAAAGGTAATTGTTAATCTGTAAGCCACATCTTCGCTTCTTGCTTGCAGACCTATTTGCTCTGCAATGCTCACAGAATTTTTTAAAAATGCAAATGTTAGCTAAGTATTCTTTTATTAATTTGCTGCAGGTCAAATCTTGTTGTAACACATTATCATGAAGAAGTTTAAATAGAAAGTCAAGATTCATAAATCTCAACCATAGCCCCACTATCTGATAAAATCAATAGTTTTTTAAATATTTTACTTATTTATTTGACAGAGAGGGCAGGGGAGAGAGCACAAGCAGAGGGAGTGGCAGAGGGAGAGAGAGAAGCAGACTCCCCGCTGAACAGGGAGCCCGATGCGGGGTTCAATCCCAGGACCCTGAGATCATGACCTGAGCTGAAGGCAGACGCTTCACCAACTGAGCCACCCAGGCACCCCAAAATCAATAGTTTTTAAGAACAGAAGACCTTAGGCAAGCTGCTGGTGTCCACTGAAATAGGATTTCACCTGTATCATAGCTGATTTTACTCTTAAATGGCCACTTCTCCCGTGGGGTCAGCTTCCTGCTCCTGAGACCAGTTCCCAGACGTGAGGTTCTCCCACGTGCTTTCTTGCCTCACAGGTAAGTAGGGCTTTGCCAGTACCATGGGTCGCCCAGAAGGAAAAATTGGAGGCACTGGTCACTGGACATCTCACGGGAGCAAAATCAGACACATGGTCCCTAGACACCCATTTCTGGACTCACACAGAAGATTCAGCAAAATGGCACCAAACATCCAATTTCCCACATTCTCTGTGTTGTTCTCTAAATGAGCTGTTTCCCATCAGCCTGGCCGTCATCATTCCTAGACCTGGCGTTTCAGGGGCCAGCAGAGCGGCGGGTCAAGAAAAAGTTTCTGAGGCCCAACTGTGCTCCATCCTTGCTGGGAGAATGAGCCCCGTCCTTCACCTCGCTCTGGCTGTGACCTCATCCTGGAGGGCTCGGGGGCTGTCAGGAGGATGAATGAGTTCATGTTTGTACGGGGTTCAGGGCACTGTGAGAGCTAGGTTCAATGTTCATTCACCAAACACATAATTTTAACATTCTCAAAGGGTAAGACTAAAGGGACGTGAACTCTACAATTCAAATCCATTCTCGGGGAGTGTTCCTATGGTCCTGAGGAGTCCCTGCACGCTCTGGTCTTTCCTTTGTTAATAGTTTCAGATCAACGTGTGCCTCCCAACTGCAGCTCATCCTTTGGCACCTGGCAGGAAGGCCAGCAGGCTAATTCCACAAGCTTTGCACTGAGGTAGGTATATGTGTAATTTTTTAAAAAAGATTTTATTTATTTATTTGAGAGAGAGCAGAGAAAGAAAGAGAGCACGAGCAGTGGGGAGGGGCAGAGGGAGAGGGAGAAGCAGGCTCCCCATTGTGCAGGGAGCCCAACATGGGGCTCGATCCCAGGACCCCGAGATTATGACCTGAGCTGAAGGCAGATGCTTAACCAACTAAGCCACCCAGGTGCCCCTATGTGTAACTTTTTAAGGTATACGTAATATGATTTAAAAAAAGATTTATTAATTTATTTCAGTGTGAGAGAGTGCAGGGGGAGGGGCAGGGGGAACGAGAGAGAGAGAGAGAGAGAGAGAGAGAGAGAGAATCTCAAGCAGACTCCCCACTGAGCACAAGCCTGACACCGGGCTCAATCTACGACTCTGAGATCATGACCTGAACCGAAACCAAGAATTGGACGCTTAACTGACTGAGCTATCTAGGTGCCCCCATAATGTGATTTTTTTTTTTTTTGACACTATGTTGTGAGCATCTTTCTAGGTCAATAGCCAATAGACCTCATCATTTGCATGCTGCTAGAAACATCTTGGCAAGTACATATTTGCAAATTTTCTGATAATCTCCTTGGGATGAATTCTTTGAAGTGGTATTACCACATCAAACAGGATCTACTTCTTAAAGATTTGTGAGCCATAGTCCCAAATTTGGTCTTGAGGACAGAAGAACCCTCTGCCTGCATGGCCGTTGGGAGGAGGGTGGACATTCAGATGTCTACTTGAAAAGGCTTTGAGGGAGAGGAAAACCTGATTCTAGTTGGCCGGAGTCAGTCAAGGCCAGAGAGTGAAAGGCGGTATGCAAAGAAGCTGAGATCAAAAAGGATGTGGGAGAGATTTTCAGAGAACTTTCTAAAAAAGATTGTCTTGCGGTTTGTTTTGTTGGCATTTTTCTTGCACTGTTAATCAAGTGCAGTAGTGGGGAAAGCCTGGGAGAGAGGCTCTATTTTTATTTTTTTTTAATTTTATTTTTAGGGGCTCCTGGGTGGCTCAGTCGTTAAGCGTCTGCCTTCGGCTCAGGTCATGGTCCCGGGGTCCTGGGGTCAAGCCCCACGTTGGGCTCCCTGCTCAGCGGGGAGTCTGCTTCTTCCTCTCCCTCTGCCCCTTCCCCTGCTCATGCTTTCTCTCTCTCAAATAAATGAATAAAAATGTTTAAGAAAAAACTAGTAACTTAAGGAAGGAAGGAAGGAAGGAAGAAAGGAAGGAAGAAGGAAAGAAGGAAAGAAGGAAAGAAGGAATTAATTCATCCTTCTGCTTCCTTGATCTCTGCCTTTGCCTCCGGATCACACAAATGTGCCCGAGGCCACGGGTACCATAGGAGCTCCTCTGGATCCAGACACCCTGCGATGCGGGAGAGAGGCCCGCTCAGGGGTGCAGTCTGCAGGGAGAGGCCCTAATGGAAAAGGCTAGTCCAGCCACTGCGTGCCATAATGGAACCTCTTAAGAACTGGGCAAAGTTCTGATGATTTGTGTCACGCTGACAAAATCCTCCCACATGCTACTTGGCAGTAAAGGACCGGGACAACAGAGAGAGAAAGAAATACAGCCTGACAGCCCACAAGAACGGTCAAATTTGAACTCATTTTTGCCATTTTTTCCCCCTGACAATTAAAAAAAAAAGTCCTAGGAGAGTCCGTGTATAATGGTGCTGGCTACACAGGGCTTAAGGATGGAAGCTCAGGGAGAGCAGGGCTGGAGGGTGAGAGAAGTTCTGCTCTAGGGTTAATGCCAAGACCGCAGTGAGTTTCCCATCTGCTAATAGCTCCTTTGTGAGCTGTAGGTCTCTCTTCCCCCTGGTAGGACCCGCCCCCGCGCTCAGCTCATCCCGAAGCCCTGCCTTTCAATGAGACATTTAACTCTACAAGGACTATTGATTTCTCTGTATCTTTAGGAAAGCAGAGACTACTGCTTCTCTCTCTTGGAAGGTGCTTTAGTGCTGTGTTCATGGTGGGACCAGTCCACTGGGGCTACAGACTGGTTTCCTTAAACCAATCGTTACATGTGGGCTGGGAGACTCCTGGAGATGGTGTGTGGGTTTGTTAATGGAAAGAAAGGAAAACTATTTTAAGTAGTTTTGTTTTTATTTATTTATTTTGTTATTTTAAATTCCGGTGTAGTTAACACACAGTGTTATATTAGCTTCAGGCGTACAATGTAGTGATTCAACCCTTCCCTGCATTACCCGGTGCTCCTCACGATAAGTGCCCTCCTTCGTCCCCATCCCCTGTCTCACCACCACCCCCACCCACCTCCCCTCTGGTGATCATCAGTGTGTTCTCTGTAGTTAAGAGTCTGTTTCTTTGTTTGTCTCTTTTTTTCTTCTTTGTTTTGTTTCCTAAATTCCACACGAGTGAAATCATATGGTATTTGTCTTTCTCTGACTGACTTATTTCACTTAGCATAATACTCTCTAGCTCCACCCATGTTGTTGCAAATGGCAAGATTTCATTCTTTTAATGGCTGAGTAATATTCCGTTGGTTAGATAGATAGATGAGAGATAGATAGATAGATTGATATAGATATCTATATAGATATCTTCTTTACCCATTCATCTATTGATGGACACTTAGATTACTTCCATAATTTGGTTATTATAAATAATGATGCAGTAAACATAAGGGTGCATGTATCCTTTTGAATTAGTGTTCTCATACTCTTTGGGTGAATTATCCAGCAGTGCAATTACTGGACCATATGGTAGTTCTTTTTTTAACCTTTTGAGGAACCTCCACACTGTTTTCCACAGTGGCTGCACCAGTTTGCATTCCCACCAATAGTTCATGAAGGTTCCCCTTTCTCCACATCCTCACCAACACCTGTTGTTTCTTGTGTTTTTGATTTTAGCCCTTCTGACAGGTGTGAGGTGATATCTCATTGTGGTTTTGATTTGCAGTTCCCTGATGATGAGTGTGCTTAAATAGTTTTTAACTACTTCCAAATCTAATAAAACTTGAGTCTGACAGCAATATTCATTCTGAGCCTGCGGAATATCAACTTAGGTTTTCTGAGATTCCCTTTATAGGGATTGTAGAAGTTATCACAGATAACTAGATATATCCAAAAGGACAAAAAAATTGTGCCAAAGGAGCAGATAAAGAGCTGGAGAGCATCTATAGGAAAAGGAACCCCTAGGCACTCATCAGAGGCTGAGTCTGTATGAACTGAAAATTCACCCATGTTCTAGTTCTAATGTTGTGTAACAAACAGCCCCAAAATACAATAGCATAAGACAGTCATTTTAATATGATCATGGATTGTGTGGGTCAGAAATTCAGACTGGGAAGATTTATCTCTGCTCCACCAAGCTTGGGCCTTTAGCTAGGAGATTCCATGGCTGGAAGTGACAGGTTATTTGGAAGCTGAGCTCATCCAGAGTCTTCTTCACTCACAGGTCCGGCAGTTGATGCTCGTTGTCAGTGGGAGCCCAGCTGGGCTGTCAGCCAGAACACCTACACATGGCCTCCCATGTGCCCTGGGATTCCTCATGACACTGTGACTTCAGGGTGGTCAACTTCCCGCACAGTGACTCACAGCTCCAAAGGTGAGTGTCTCAGTGAACAGTGAGCAGTGAAGAAGCTGCATCACCTTTTATGACCTAACCTCAGAAATCACACAGTACCACTTCCCACACGGTGTGGGAGTTTTAAAAAATGTCCACAAATTCTTTGATTCTCCCTTTCAAGGGTGCACCTAATTCTCCTACTCTATACTTAGTGACTCATATATCATGAATACAATGTGGCAGTGATGGTATATGACCTCCAAGACTAGGTAATAAAAGGCACTGCAGCTCCTTCCTTCCACGCCCA